TATTAATTTATACCTATTATACCTATTAATTATACCTATAATATAATTATTATTATACCTATATAATTAATATTATTAATATTATATTCTATTAATATATAATTATATTATATATTATATATTATATATATTATATATATTATATATTATATATATTATATATTATATATATTTATATAAATATATATTATAAAATATAATATATATTATATTAATATACCTATATAATTAATTATACCTATAATAATAACCTATTATATTATTATACCTATTAATTATACCTATTATACCTATTAATATATATATTAATATACCTATTAATATAATATATATATAATATACCTATTAAAGTCATATCAATATATTACTGTGCTCAAAACAAGGACAGATATTTTTTAGGTGCTAGAGATGAGTGATGGGGGGAACTGGGGCCATGCGTCTGTGCCCTAGGGGTACCCCAGCCAGATCTGTATCTAGGAGCTAGAGTCTTACACCTATGGGGAAGGGAGCCGAAGCTTCAGAAGCCCTACATAGCAAGGGAGCAGGGATGGGATACTTTTGGCAGAGTGAAGACATCCAGTGCCCAGAAATTAACCCCCAAACTGGTTAATGGATAGATGTCACACAGTCCTGGCAGATTACAAAATTACATAATCCCCACTGAGGAATATTCACATCCCACAGTACACACAGAACTTTGCACAAGGTCTTTGTTGCTGAAACCCACCAACAAATACTCCAACGCTTCGGAAGAAGAAATCCCACTCTAGTTACTACAGATAAGGGTCAACTTGAAAGAGGTTATACAGTAGAACAGACAGAGAAGAGGATCCATAAGGTAAGAAGGGACCTCACCGAAACAATAATAGATGGCTTTGAGAAAGAACCAAATATGAAACCGAGAAATGAAAAAGAGTCCTAGAAAAAAAATTTTACAACGTATGGTAAAATGTTAATAACCTTTGATCCAATAACTCTACTTCTAGAAATTTATCCTAAGGAAACACTCTGGAATTCAAAGATTTATGTACACAAATTTGCAGCATAGAATTATTTGTCATAGAAAAACTGGAAGTGCCTCAAATGTCCAGTAATGGAGGCACGGGTGAGAAAATCATGAGATGGAAGGGAAAGTGCATGGGCTTGGGAGTCAGAGTGACCTAGGTTAGTTAGTATTATGGAGCTACTGTTAGCTGTGGGTCCTGGGCAAATCATTTCACCTTTCTCAGCTCTACCTGGGAACACTAATATCCCCTTTTCAGGGTTGACGTGAGGTAGAGGGGTGATGATGTCCAGGGCCTGGTATATAGAAGACCCTCCCTAAGTTGTGGCTGTTGATATCATTACGTTCCCACCATTGGCATCATTAATGTGATGGTCACAACGAATTCTGAGTGACCCAGGATATGGCAAAACAAACGCACAAACACAGAATAGCAGGTTATAAGCATGATACGATCTCCTAGCAGCCACATAAAAGAGTCAGTTAGAGGAAGGAACACTCACCAGAGGGCTATCTTTCATTATCTCAGGGTTGAGGACTTACGGGTGATTTTTATACTCTTCTCTATGTTCTTCCCTGTTTGCCCACTTTTGTTTCTGTTTTTTGTTTTTTTTTTTTTTCCAAAAGAAAAAAAATTCATACAAAAATCCAGCCATTCCCTAGCTCGTAGAGGACTTTTGCATTCATCTTGTTGCCTTGGGAACCAAAATTAATTCTTGCCAGCTGCTGGTTATGCAATTCAGCCTGGCCTTGGAGGTTTGTGCAGAGCCAGTGGTGGCCGGTCTGACCTGGAGCGCTGTTACCTGAAGTTGTAGCCAGGATACAAGGACTCATTGGTGGTCTTGTCGTCAAGGCGACGGAAACTGTATTTTGGATGGCAGCGATGGAACCAGCTGTCCAAGTTGCAGTCCCAGTAGATCTCAATGCCCATGATTCCTCCCTGGGGAAGACAAAGAGACACAGTTTGCAAGTCCTGCTGCATGTGGGACACAGCTACCAGACCTCTCCCTGCATAGGGATGATCATTAAGGCAAAGGTTTTCTTTTCTTTTCTTTTTAAAAAAATTTTTATGTTTATTTTTGAGAGTGAGAGTGAGAGAGAGCATGAGTGGGGAAGGAGCAGAGAGAGAGGGAGATACAGAATCTGAAGCAGGCTCCAGGCTCTGAGCTGTCAGCACAGAGGCTGATGTGGGGCTGGAACCCACGAACCATGAGATCATGACCTGAGCTGAAGTCGGATGCTTAACTGACTGAGCCACCCAGGCACCCCAAAGGTTTTCTTTTTAGAGGAAAACACGGATTAAATTTCAGAGCCATGAGTACATGAGCCCATCTAACACACACACAAGTAGCTGCAAACGCATCTCCCTGCTCTTCTTCCCATTTGGGACACACCGTTAGATTTCTTTTCCTAAAATACGACTTTCAATAAATCTCTCCCATAATCAACACCTTGACTTCCTGCCTCCCATTCAAGATGAAGTTGAAGTTTATTACACTGGAATTCAGGGTGCCCCATCACATATCTTTTCTGCTTTACCTCCCAACAACCCCCTGGAGAAAGCTCTTATTCCAAACTGTGTATACTTTTCCCTTAAAGCACTTGAAATTTTCATTTCTTTTTTTTTTTTAACAGATTTATTGAGATACAGTTTAGGCACTTAAAGTGTTTAATTCAATATTTTTTGGTACGTTCACATATATGTGTGACCATCACCATAATAAATTTTACAAGTTTCATTGCCTCCAAAAGAAACCCCTGAACTTTTAGCCAACACCCCTTTCTCCCCTCCCTCAGCCCTAAGCAACCACTAATGTACTTTCTGTCTCTATAGACTTCCTTCTTCTGAACTTTCATATGAATGAAATCACATAATAGGTGATTATGTGTGTGGCTTTTGTGTGTGGCTTCTTTCACTTGTCGTAATATTTTTAAAGTTCATCCATATTGTAGCCTGTGTCAATCCTTCATTCCTTTTTTGTGGTGGAAGAATACTTCTTTGTATGGAAAGACTACATTTGATTTATCCATTTATCCTCTGATAGACATTTGGATTGTTTCCACCTTTTAGCTATTATGAATAATGCTGCTGATGTACGAGCTTATGTACAAACACTTAGTACGAGATTTTGTGTGGACATATGATGTCCTTTCTCTTCTGTGTCTACTTATGATGAGTGGAATTTCTGGGTACACTTTGAACTTTTAAGTCTTGGCCCTTGTCCTTTTCTCCCATTGAAATATTTCTCCCACCCATCTCTCTAGCTAAGTCCTCATCCGCCTCCAAGACCTAATGTACATCCTTCCTTGTCACTTCAGCCTCCCCATTCTCCTCAGTTCAGGGTCACCTTTTTCTTCTCTGAACTTCTAAGGAACCTTTTAATCTTTTACCTCTACTTGGTACTTCTTTCTTTCTACAAACATGTTTTGAACACTGACTGTCCTATTTCACTGAATCTTAGACACCATTGCTTATCAGATACATAATTTTCTTTTTATGTTCCTCTGAGAAGGAACATAACAAATGTTGTCAATTAAACTGTGAAATTCCATGAATCTAAAGTATTTCCTGATTCAGAAATATAAATATTAAATATTTCAGAAAAAAGTATGTCTTTGAATTGATATAATATGGTATTTCAAGATAGTATCTAGATGCTAGGGATAGAAAGATGAAAAACAAGCAGACTCTGACTTGGAGAAAGGGGAAATAATACAGAATAATCACAATTATCATTTATTGGCACTAAGCCAAGCACTGTACATATTATTGTGAATATCTGATGTTTCTGTCACTCAGCATCCAGTTCTCCTGGTAAAAGTCCCTGGAAGTTTCTTTGGGAAACGTTTCTCCCAACTGAGCGGTTTGGATGGGACTGTCGCCTCTCCCAGCTCCAGGAGTGGGAACATGATCTAGGCCTGGCCAGTCAGGATTAGGCATCCCTCTGGACCTGGTGACTGGTTCAGGAATAGGTATGTGGCCCAAGATTGACCAATCAGAGCCCTCTCTGAGACATTTTGTCAGAACCATAAAAAAAAGAGGTCCTCTATTGGTTGGGACCACCAGCTAGAGAGCGTGAGAGTTCAGAGCAACATTGTCCAACAGAATATTCTGTAGTGATGAAAATATTCTATATTCATGCTGTGCAATAAAGTCTCTACTAGCTGCATGTGGCTACTGAGTGCTTGACATGTGGCTAGCATGACAAAGGAAATAAATATTTCATCTCAATTAATTTAAATTTAAATAGCTTCATGTGACTAGTGGCTACCGTATCAGACAGTGCAGTTCTAAAGGCTCTGGTGCCTTTGTCTTGACATGAGGACGATCTGAGAGTGACCTTGTCATTAAAGAAAAAACAAAGAGATGGGGAGCCAGATTCCTAAAGACCTCATCTGAGTTCCTGGATGCAGCCATGCCTACTGCTATCATACACTTCATTCAGTCGACAAATACTTATTGAGTGTCCTTTATGCTGAGCATTATACAAAAACTAACAAAAGAAGCCAAAGATCCCTGCCCTCATGGAATTTACATTCTAGTCAGGGAAAACAGACAACAGACAAATGGATATGTAAATTATATAGTATGCCAGATAGTGCTGGATAGGGTTAGAAATTGTCACTTAAAAATTTTGGGGGGGACACCTGGGTGGCTCAGTCGGTTGAGCATCTGACTTCAGGTCAGGTCATGATCTCGCAGTTTGTGGATTTAAGCCCCACATCGGGCTTTGCGCTGACAGCATGGAGCCCACCTCTAATTTGTTGTCCCTCTCTCTCTACCCCTTTCCCATTCATTCTCTCTCTCTCTCTCTCTCTCTCTCTCTCTCTCTCTCTCTCTCTCAAAAATAAACACACAAAAAAATTTTAAAAAATGTTTTAATGTTTATTTATTTTTGAGAGGCAGAGCATGAGTGGGGGAGGGGCAGAGAGAGAAGGAGACACAGAATCCCAGGCAGGTTCCAGGCTCTGAGCTGTCAGCACAGAGCCTGACATGGGGCTCAAACTCATGAACTGTGAGACCATGACCAGAGCTGAAATTGGACACTTAACCAACTGAGCCACCCAGGCGCCCCTAGAAATTGTCATTTTAAATGAAGTGGTAAGGGAAAGCTTCACTGAACTTATATTTGAGCACAGACTGGAAGCAGGTGAGGGAGACAGCTAATGGTATGTCTGGGGCAAGACTTTTCCAGAAAGGAAGAAAATTTCCGAGGTAGGAAAATGCCTTAGCTGTACTAAAAGTTCCATTTCCCCTGGTGTCTTTATATGAGTTAATATGGCTCTTTTTTTTTTTTTTTTTTTTGGCTTAAACCAATTATTTGGTTTCTTTTTGCCCCCCAGATGCTTTTTAATTTATTCTTTGCTCACATCATTTGGTTTGGATGTCTATAACGTACAACTGGAAGAATTCTGACTAATTCAAGTATGGTACTCTGAATCATTGCCAAAGATATTCCAATCCCAGGTCCTAATCCTTGGACTCTTTGGATATATTATCTTATAGGGCAAAAGAGACTGCAATTAAATTAAGGATCTTGAGATGGGGAGATTATCTTGGATTATCCAGATGGGCCCTACATGTTTCCTTTTATAAATGTTCTCAAAAAGATTAGTATCTTTATAAGAGGGAGGTTGAGGGAGACTTGACACAGAACAAGAAGTCAGTGGGACCACTGAAGCAAGACGCCATGCAGCTGGCTTCAGAGCTGGAGGAAGGGACCACGAGCCAAGAAATGCAAGGACCGTAGCTCTAGAAGGTGGAAAAGGCAAGGAAACGGATTCTTCTGTAGAGCCTCTGGAGAGAGCATGGCCCTGCTGATACCTTGGTTTTGGTCCAGTGAAACTGACTTTAGACTTCCAACTGCCAGAAGTGTAAAAAAAAAAAAAAAAGTGTGTTGTTGTAAGCCACCAAGACTGTGGTAGTTTGTTACAGCAGCCACAGGAAACCAGGGATCTCCCCCACAGCTTTGTTGCCTGATTAGATGAGGTAATGCAGAGTGTGAGATTTCCTAAATGCTCAGTGAAGGAAGCCTTATAATTAAGACCCGGAGGCCCGGCCTCTTGGCCGTTTGAGATCCCCTGACTCACTGTACAAAGAAGTCACCAACCTGAATTGCAGCATCTGAAAAATTATCTCCTACTTCTCGGAAGATATCTCCTAGTCGGAAGATGGGACACTGTGGATCCTGAGTCTTGTGAAAGGTACAAGTGATGTTTACACCCGGCAAGATGTTTCTCCTGCACACAATGAGAAGCAACAAACCAACAAAAATGTCTATTGGAAACTGAGACCCATCTCTTTCATAGGAGTGAGCCAATTGTTAGCTGGTTTCCATGAGGGGCCCCAGGGGTCCTCAGTCCCTGGAGTTACACCCTTGTGTAGTCCCCTCCTACACTGTGCAGAGTTAGTCTATGTGACCAATAGCATATGGCAGAAGCGATGCTGTGTCACTTCCAAGATGAAGTCATAAAAGGCTCCCATCTTGTTTACTGTCTGGCTGGCTTGCTCTCTGTACCTCTTGGATCACCCGCTGTGGGGGAAGCCAGACACCATTCCTAAGGATACTCAGGCAGTCCTAGGGAGAGGTCCATATGGTGGGGAACTGAACTCCCTGCTGACATCTAGGTGAGTGCGCTTGGAAGAGGATTCTCAGCCCCGGTCAAGCCCAGAGGTGACTGCAGTCCCCACTGACAGATAGCTTGACTGCCACCTGAGAGACCCTGAGTCAGAAACACCCAGCAAAGTAATTCCCACATTCCTTACCCACAGAAAAAGCGTGAGATAATAAATGTTGGTTGTTAAGCTTCTAAGTTTTGGCATTATTCGTTATATGGCAGTAGATAGCTAACACAGTCTGACATTCTGGACACTTACGTGGTGTAGTTGTGGCCAGGGAAGTCGATGTTATTTTTGATGAGCACTGTGAAGTTTTCGGCAATGTTCAAGAGCGCAGGCCTGAGAGAGAGAGATGCCGGTTGGGGGTCAGTGGGCCAATGGGACCACAGGCTTCTGGTTTCTGGCTCGGGTCATTGCAATGAGTGAAGAGAAATGTAGGGGCGCCTGGGTGGCGCAGTCGGTTAAGCGTCCAACTTCAGCCAGGTCACGATCTTGCGGTCTGTGAGTTTGAGCCCCGCGTCGGGCTCTGGGCTGATGACTCAGAGCCTGGAGCCTGTTTCCGATTCTGTGTCTCCCTCTCTCTCTGCCCCTCGCCCGTTCATGCTCTGTCTCTCTCTGTCCCAAAAATGGATAAACGTTGAAAAAAAAAATGTAGTCTAGTGGGCAAAACCTTCCTAAAAATCTAAAAAAGAGGAAGAAGCTCTCTTTTCTTGAGACCCCATGGCATTTACTATAACTCTTCTCACACTCTGATGTAATTCTGTGTTTAGGTATGTGCAGTGGTGTGCTGGTAAATATTTAACAACCAGGTCTCCGGGCGGGGTGGGGCGGGGGGGGTGGTGAGGTGGTGGAGCTCTGATCTGTAGCAATTACTGATGACTGTAGTATAAGCCCTCCCACCATGGCCGATCTCAAGCTACTAGCAGGTATCACTGAACTTGGAGTTGGGAAGGGATGAGCATAAAGGGCTCAGAGCTAGTATAGGCCAGCTCCAGCACACCCTTGTTTGTATCTTTCCCAATAGGCTTGGAGTTCTTGCAGGGCTAGGATAATGACATCTTTGATTATTTTTGTTTAGTGTTTTTTTTTGTAGTGGCATCCCCAGGCTTTAGCACAGGGCCACACACATAGAGTTGACTTCATCAGTCATTCTCTAGAGGCCCTGAGTAGCATAAATTCTCCATGAGTTAGAGGAGACCAAATCCTAGACTGTAGCAAGGTGCCCCCCACAACCCATCCATCCATTCATTTGGCAAATATTTACTTTGCTGGGCACAGGGTTGGGCATTGGGAATGTAGTGCTAAACAAAACAGTCAAGGTTTTTGTCCTCATGCAGTTGACAGTCGGCTAAAGATGGAGAGAACTGGCTATGAATAAAGAGATACAACTGGCACTTTATTGCTTGGCATGCCTGAGTGGGTGGCAGGTATATATAATGGGAGTAGCACCGGGAAAGGACAGACATATTTGGAAGGGGGCACCAAGAATGATCTACTTTCTATTCCAGAATAAAAAGGATGTAACTATAGAGAACACCAGTTTTTGCCTTTCCAACATCCATTCCCCCTCTGTTAGAAGCACTTCAGTTTTCTCCCGGTGGGAAAGCCATGTCTCTCCCACTCTCAGCCCAGAAGGTTGGGTGAGGATGAATCTATCTCCTACCCATCCTTACAGCTCCCAGGGTAGGCAAGTGACCCAGAGCTTTCTAGACAGTATAACTCAATCCTCTTGGCCACAGTGATTGGTTCAGAGATTGTCACATGACTTAGGCCAATGAAAACATTCTAGGGCTTTTGTAGGAAATACTGGGAAAAGAAAAACTCACTTTCTTTAGGATTACTAGTAGTAAACACAGTGTAAACCTGGAGTTCCCTGGGCCACAGTGTGAGGAAAGCCAAAACGGAGGAAAGAATAACTGGAGGGTGGGTGTGCGATGGAGGTGGGAAGAGACAGAATGAAAGGGAGAGAATCTTAATGACATCATTTTAATTTGAAGCCTGGATCAAGTCTTTCCTGAAGCTAGTACTTTTGGACTCTTCATTTATAGGAATAAGAAAATAACATTTTCTTTTTTCCAGAAGCCAGTTTAAGTTGTATTTCTGGCATTTGCATTAAAAAAAAAATCTTATTTACAACAAATGCCTACTATCTGCTAGACCATTTACTTTTAGAACATCCTAAATCCCATGCTTTCTGGGCAACATTCTAAGAATAAGAGGACTACATGATTTTGAAACTTTAAGGATCAAAGTCCTTTATTTCTCTCTTATGACACTCTTAACTTTCTATCTTGAATTATATCTCTCTATGCACATGTCTTATCTCTTTGATTAGATTACAAGAGGCTTGGGACCTGCTCCATATCTGGGTCTGCTTGTATTTTTTTAGCACAGTCTCTTGTGCATAGTTACATGTAAAATAAATAGTATGCGTGTCTACGCACACATTATTGACTACTATAAGCCAGGCATGGGGCTCACTTTGCAATTGCTGTACAAGTATCATCTCATTTAATTCTCATAACAGTCCCGTGAGGTAGGGGCAACTATTAGCCTCATTTTACAAATAAGGAAACTGAAGCTCAGAGAGGTCAAGCCATTTGCTCAAGGTCACACAGCAAGGAAATGTTAGAGTCAAATTTGAATCCAGGTCTCTCTATTCTTCTGCTGAAATGCACCAATCCCTGTGGTTTCTGAGATTTAACATCAAGTTCTGCCTTCTGGGCCTGACGTTGTGTGTTAAAGAGAAGAATCAATTCAGGGGATCAACAAATCTGTGTGCCACTGTGACCACTTAATTTAAGAAAACTTCTCTTCCCTCCCTCCCTCCCTCCCTCCCTCCCTCTTTTGCCCTCTTTACCCTCCCCTTCCCTTCCCCTTTCTTCCCTTTTCCTTTCTTCCCCCCCTTCTTACCACCTTGCCATACTTAATCACTCAGTATGGACACTGACCAATCAGAATGAGGTCTGCGGTAGTGCTGGAGGAGGGCTCCAGAGGTCTTCAGCCAGGGGTCCAGGGGCAGCCAAGGGTGCTCAGGGTAGTAGTTGTTTACCAGCCAGTACAGAATTATTGCAATATTTTAACAATTAGCATGGGCCCCACAGAGACCACTGGTGTGCCTGGGACAGAGGGTCACCAAGTCAGTAGGACCCAGGACTTTTCAAGACTTTTTATCTGATCACTGGTCAGGGCCACCACATCTCTCCCAACCTTGCAGCTCACCGGGGGGGCTCTTTCGCTGCCTCTATGGGACACCAGGCGGAGACTTCACAGGTCTTCAGCTTCCCTTTATACTCTACACACCTTCCAGTCTGGATCCCTGGGTGGGGTGGGGTGGGGTGGGGCCAAGGGGCCAAAAAAGCAAAGTGTGAAAACTGTAGGCACATCTTGAACTCAACCCAAGCAAGAGACTATATAATTTATGCTTTTCAGCCGAAGCAGTTTTAACTTCCACAAAACCTCATTTGAACCACAAACTTACATAAGGAAACCTAAGCAGAGAACACATCGGACGGTAAGCTTTTTTAAAAAAAGATTTGGAGAGAACACAGAGAGACCATGGATAGCTGTTGGCTCTTTTGGTTTCTTTGCCAGAAAAGATGCTGAGAAAGGAGCCGAACAGGGCATGTTCTCTCGCCTGGCATGAATGGACTAGAACTTGGCTTTTAAGTGGGCATCTGAGCCACTTAGGGGTGTACAGCCCGGACCAGGGATGTGCATAAGCCACAGAATGAGCACGGCACATCTTTCTGGAGCATCAGAGCCACTCGCAGATTCTGAGGGGGAAAGTTAAATAGTAAGTAATGTCTGAATGATCTCTATACCAACTCAGACAGACATATATATCTAAAGGAACAGAGTGTGACATCCATAGGCCTTTTTTGTGTGTGTATGTGTATATGTTATAACATATAAAGATATGTTCTTTTTTGTGGTCATTTTTTAATTGTCATGTGCCTCTTTAAGTTCAAGTAAGAGATAGAGAAATTCTGATGGTTAATGGTGGTACCGGTCCCCAGGTGCCCTGAGGGTACAATTCATATTCCCCAACCTCCAGGGAAATTCAAAGGGGAAAGTTCAGCATACACAGAAGGTACTATGGGCCATTCAGTTTTCCTGTCAGTGAGAACCCTGAAGATGCTAATTCTGGAGGTTTTCAGGAGCTGCCCTCCCTGGGGAATTAGATCACATTCCTAGTCCTCTGGGGACAGAGCAGAGGCATGGGGGCAGACACAGGCTCCCCCAGGGCCTGGTGAGGGTGGAAGAAGGCATCTGAGAGCCAGAGTCTAAAGATTTGAACTTTAGGGCATTTGTGAATGTCACCAAGATACCAGACCACCCCCAACCCCCAGGATCCCAGAGAAGAAACATAACATACCTTTGCTCTGCGGGTCCACCCGTCCCTTTTTACAGCCCAAGTCAGAGGAACAGAGCGTCCTGCGGGTGGGAAACTGCAGGGAGAAGGATGGGATAGTGGGGAGTAAGCAACGCGGGTCTCTAAGATACAGAAAAGCAGGTGCCTGTGCCTGCACCAAAAACTTATACACAAATGTTCACAGCAGCCAAAAAGTAGAAACAACCCAAGTATTCATGAGCTGATATGTGGACAAATATAGTGTAGTGTATTCATACAATGGACTATGACTCAGTCATAAAAAGGAAGGAAACACACCTGCTACAATATGGATGAACCTCAAAAACATGATGCTCAGTGAACGAAACCAGACCCAAAAGGCCACATACTGTGTGATCTCAATGATATGAAATACCCAGAACAGACAAATCCACAGAGACAGAAAGTGGATCAGTGGTTGCCAAAGGCTGAGGGAAGTGGGGAGTGGGGCATGACAGCTGACGGGTACAGGACTTATTTTGGGGAACATTTGGAAAATGTTCCAGAATTAGGTAGTGTTATGGTTGTACAACATTGTGAAAATACTAAAAACCACTCATTTCTACACTTTAAAATGGTGGACTTTATGGTATATGAGTTATATGTCAACAAAACATAAAAATAAATAAAGATCCAAAAGGTAGATGTAACCAGGTACCACTTTCAGGGAAGGCCCTTGGGGTAGGGGGGAGGGGGCCTGGTCCAAGCACCTCTGTGGCTGCAGAACTGGGCCAAGAGACAAGCTCAAAGGCTCAGCAGGATATGGGAAGTAAGGGGTGCCAGCCAGCACTTTCCCCTGGCCTCAGAAAATGAGGTCAGCCCCGTCTTAGGCCTGAGGACAGAAGAAGAAAAAGAAATGAGATGACTGGTTTATGCACATTTGACTTCCGCTTTTCTGGGGAGGAGGTTTAACGGCCAGTCTTAGGGGAACCAGAGCCTGACCTTAGGGTGGGGGGTGGAGGATAGCATCAGCAGTTCATTATCTTCCTCTGACCTGTGCCCCCTCCAGCGACTCTTATTACCTGCCAACCACTCTGGTCCCCTCCTTACCTCAGGACATAACCCCTGCTGTTGGCCTTCTGTCTTGAGGAAGTTTGTCATCACGAAGAAGGAGTTTCCCTGTAGAGAAAGGAGAGAGTAGGCAAATGCCAGACGTTGGAGGGCAGAACTACTTAATCAGAATAATCTAGCCTGCCTAGTGCCTGGGGGCGAACCTTCCACCTTTCTAAACCACACTCTGGAAATCAGGTCTGGGAGCAACGTGGACTGCGCTCGAGGGCTTAATATCAAAGCTGATGAGCCACCCCACTGAGCCGAGGGAAAGCAAAGGGACATTCTAACTGACTGAGTATTCATTTTCCGTTCCAGCCTCAAAAGCAGCCTTGTCATTTTTTGGACGCAGTAAAATCCCATTAAATCGAAACTTAAGAGAACCCGGGGCGGGGTGAGAGGGGTGCAGTGTTGGCTTCATCAGAATGCTGTTCAGATTATCCAGGATTTTAATTAAAGGGCAGACGGCATCCCACAACCCGGGTAATAGCTGGAGATCTTACTGACCCACTGTTAGAAACCGACAGACAGTGACTTGGGTTTCATGGTTTTGCTGAGCACCCCAGCTCCCAGAGGCTGCAAAAGTGCCCTTTTGTCCCTCAGGCACCCCCACCCCCATCTGTTCTTTGGTTTTCTCATTCCTACTTTGATTTCTCCTTTTTGACTGTTCTGCTTTTATTTATCTTCTTGCAAATATAGACAGTCACATAGTCTTTCTCTGTGATGCACACCCTTCCTTTCTTTGTCATCTATATCCTTCCTTTGTGCAAAAATGTATTTGAGAAAATGTTTTCCTGGAGACATTTTTGTTGATAAAACGCCACACAAACCACATAAAAGGGCTAGTCCTGTCCAGGCAGGAAGTTCTTTGTCCTTCTGAATCTAGACAGACCTTGCTGACTTGATGGCCCTGCTTCCAAAAAGCTGTGCATAAATCAAGCGTGAGTGAATCAAATCGTGCTTTAAATGCACCACCAGGACACGCTGCTATTCTGAGAAACCCTGTAGGACTTGATAAAGCAAAGAATCGTCTTTGAGCTGCTGGATCTGACCCAATTTTGCAATTTTTAGGTTTTCTCAGTTGGGATTTTCACAGAGCTTTTTAAAGTAGGGCCAGCATTTTTCTGCAGTGAGGCTCTGGGTCCCAAGGGAGGGAGGCAAGGCCCTGGGGACAGTGCCCAGGGAGGAGTCCTGGGAGGGGGTGGCTGGCAAGTGCTCACCTGCAAAGGGAAGGTGTAATCCGCCGTGTCAAAGACACTGGACACCACCTTCTTCATCCCGTTCTCCAAAATCTCCTCTTTCACCTCTGCTATCCCTTTTACCTTGGTGTGCACAGAACTGATAACAGGCTCTTTCCGCTGGTACAGCTTGTCACTCACCAAAGCAAAGCTAAGTGGCAGACACAGAAAAGCATCAGTGGTTTTCTCAAGGGAGGCACAGTGTGGGGACTTGGGGGGCAGGTTCTGAAGGCTGCCTCCATTCAAATCCTAGCTTTGCTGGGTGACTTTGGGCAAGCTACTTGACTTCTCTGTGACTCATTTTCCTTATCTGTAAAGTGGGAAGAATAGTCATACCTACTTTAGGGGTTGTTGTGAGGATGAAATGAGATACGTGTGCAAACTCCTCAGCATCATATGCTGAGTGCACACTGAGCACTCACTATCTGGAAACTACTGCCCCTGATGTCAACCTCCAATACTGCCTAATACAGACTCTAATTTATAGGACAGCTTCTTAAATAACAAAGTCCAGCTTCAGATTGGTCCACTTGCTTTGTCCTGGGGCGAAGCAACACATCAACACCTAAGGAAGTACCCAGCAGGTCAGCCACCTGTTTTCCAGAAACACCCACCTGGTTTATAAATAATATTGATAATAGTAACCGCCCTTTATTGAGCAATTAGTACATGCCAAGTGCTCCATATGCATCATCTGTTTAATCTTCACAGTGATAGGAGATAGTTACTATAATCATCCCTTTTGTAGATGAGAGAATGGGCTCAGAGAGGTAAAGGAATGCGCCCAAGATAACAGATCGTCAGTGGCAATACTGAGGTCCTCAACAGGTCTACCTTCTAGCCTAGAGCCAGACCTCTTAACCCTGTGCTACACGTGTTCATGCATGATGTGGCTCTGACTCTGGTTTCCTGCCTTTGGTCAGTTTATTACCTGTTAATCCTTTCTTTAGAATATCAATTAAATTATTATAAGTGTGAGGAAGAGAAGGAGAAAGTGGAATTAACAACAATGGTAGGGGCGCCTGCATGGCTCAGTCAGTTGAGCATCCAACTCTTGATTGAGGCTCAGGTCATGATCTTACAGTTGTGAAATCGAGCCCCATGTCAGCCTTTGCGCTGGGTGTGGAGCCTGCTTAAGATTCTCTCTCTCTCCGTCTCCCTCTCTCTCAAAAAGAAGAAGAAGAAGAAGAAGAAGAAGAAGAAGAAGAAGAAGAAGAATTCAAAATGGTAGATTCCACCACTGTTTGTTTTTCCTGTCTCCCATTGCCCTGAATAATTCCGACTTTATTTTAAATGCTTTGTTTATTCATTCAGCATGTGTTTATTTGGTCTCTTCCCTCTGGCCAGCACCTAATATTCAAATGATTTAGGAAGTGTAAGCCAGTGGCTGCCTTCTATGACCTGGCCTTATGAAACCAAGACAGAGTGGGCCATGACTTGGTCGCTGCTGTTCCTAGCCTTGGCTGGGTAGTATAATCCCCAGAGAGCTTTCAAAATTGCTGCTCCCCAGTTCCATCCCTGGAAATTCTGCTTCAGTAGGTCTGGGGGAGTTATCCAGGTACTTATATATATTTTTAAAGTTTGCTGGGTGATTCTAATGCACAGCCAGGGTTGAGAACCCTGGGAGACTATTGAAAAGAGAGCTAACATTTGGCAATATGTAGTGCATTCGAGGAAGTGCATCTCCTAGGACCTGGCAATTCCACGCTTTTGTACACTCCCTAGAGAAATCCTCATACATGTGCCCAAAGAGTTAGGTACAAGACTGTTTATGGCAGCATCATTTGTAAGAGGGAAAATAAAATACCCTAAATGTCCTTAAATATTTAATGGGTAAATGAATTGTTGGATTCATACAATAGGATGCTCTAGTGAGAATAAATGGAGAGCTACTCATATCAATATGGAAATAATATAATATTGAGAAAACAAAACATGCCACAGTATGAATACAAAATTTAAAGAAATCCAAAACAACATTTTACACTCAAATGCCTGTCTACGCATGCCCATAGCAGCACTATTCATAAAAGACAAAAGATGGAAATAGCTCACATGTTCATCAGTAGATGAATGGATAAACAAAACATGGTCTACCCATACAATGAAGTACTATTCAGCCATAAAAGGAATGAGGGGCACCTGGGTGGCTCAGTCAGTTAAGCATCTGACTCTTAATTTTGGCTCAGGTCTGATTTCATGGTCATGAGATTGAGCCTTGCATCTAGCTCTGTGCGGGGCATGGAGCCTGCTTAAGATTCCTTCTCCCTCTGTCCCTTCCATGACTGCACATGCGTTTCTTCCCTCTCAAAAAAAAAAAAAAAAAAAAAAAGGAATGAAGCACTGAGACGTGCTATATTGTGGAGGAACCTTGAAAACATGCTTTATAAAAGAAGGTAGATAAGAAGGTCACATATTGTATGATTCTATTTATATGAAACAATCCAGAATAGGTAAATCCATAGAGACAGAGAGTAGATTGATGAGTGCAAGGGGGTGGGGAGCAGGGGTGACTTCAAATGCGTGTGGTTTTCTTCTAGAGTGGTGAAAATGTTTGGGACCTAGGTTGTGTAAACACAATATGGTGTGTTATTAAATGCCACTGGCTTCATCACCTTAAAATGGTTATTTTATGTTATATGAGTCTCACCTCAATAAAAAAAGGAAAATATTTTTGTAGATATACACAAATGTTGTAGAACTATAAAAACATAGAATGACAAACACCAAGTTCAGGATGGTGTTTATAAGGGGAGAGGAAAGAGGATGGGATCCAGGCTAGGTTTACAGGGAGCTAAAACTGGATTAGTAATATTTTATTTCTTTTTTTATAATTTTTAAAGAAGTTCTTATTTATTTATTTTGAGAGAGACAGAGAGTGAGCATGCGCAGGAAGAGCAGACAGAGAGGGAGAGAGAGAATCCCAAGCAGGTTCCACACTGTCATTGCAGAGCCTGACTTGGACTGGAACCCATGAAACATGAGATCATGACCTGGGGCTGAAGTCAAGAGTCGGCTGCTCAACTAACTTGAGCCACCCAGATGCCCCAGTAATGTTTTATTTAAGTTGGATGGTGGTACATGGGCGTTTATTATATTATTCTCAACATGTTTTAGTATTTATATACCATTCATTTAAAAAAGCTCATCAAGAAGGACATTGGGGCTACAGATCCAGATTTGAGGTCCAATCAGCATATATAAGAAAGGGCTATTCCATATAACTCCATAGACAAATATAATACTTGTTCAACAATGTATCTCAGCCTAGCATTGCAATATGTACATGGTCTGTGCAGTGTTTCCTGTTGGATATGGCGACATTCCCACAGAATAACACTGGGTCCATTTGGCCCACCATTTGGAAGCTCGATTCAAATCTGTCATATTCATTCCAGAATTCACAACATATCATAAATCAGCCATAATGGAATCCAACCCTTTCATAAGTCAGAAAATTTATCTTTGTATGATAACGAACATACCATTTTAAGAATTAAAATGCTTCAGAGTTGCAGCAAAGGAAAAAAGAGGAGAAGAAAGAGTTGGTGGTATCCTGCCCTAACGACCATCCCTAATGACTCAGACAAGCCATGTCACCTCTTGCCACGGGTGTAGTCCTTGAACAAGGGGAGGGCTGCCTGGCTCCCTGATCCCTGTGAACTTGCAGCTTGAAGAAGCTGCAATTCTGTGCATGTTGGAGACGGCAAACCCATCGGACCCTCTAGCACACTGGCAGGAAAGGGCTGGGTTTTGGTGGTGCTTGGTAGGACCGGAGAAAGAAATGTTGGGGCAGAAAGCTGAGGAGTCTGGGGAGATGGAAGGGGACTGATCTGAGGGACTTAGGCACTCACCAGCAGGGCAGGTCTGGCTGCAGTGGGGGCTGTGGAGGGGTGGGGAGGAGAGAAGGACAGAGGATAGCTCAGCTGTGGAGCCTGAGGCTTGCACACAGCACTGACTCACCAGGTGTAGACCAAGGTGCCCACTACAGAGAGGACCCACATGCTCTGACTGTGAATGGCTTTCTCATACTGGCACCGCAGGGGGCCCTGGCCCATGCCCAGGTGGTGAGAGAGTCCTCAGAGGACCACAGGCTGCAAGCGCCTCCCGGCAAAGCCTGGCTCTCCCTCACTGTGCTTGGGCTCACACAGCGAAAGGGTGGGATTTGAAAATGAACTGCCCTCAAAGTCAGGTAACTGACACCTACCCCAAGGCCAACAGACATTCTCTAGGCCCCTAAAGGAACCCTGGGCCCTGGGGCACTATGTCCTCTGTGTCTCTACTTCTTATATTTAAAATCCCAAGAGAAGAATCTGATTATTTCCATCCCTGGCCCACTCAGCAGTGGGGGGAGGTCAGCCAGGGGCCAAGGACAGCAAGAGATGAACTGAGAAGAAAGCAGAGGAGAGCATCCACCCCCAAGGCAAATTAAGTACTGATTGTATTAGCTTCCCATTGCTGCTGTAACAAATTATCACAAACTTAGTGTCTTGAAACAATACAATTTTTTTCTCATAGTTCTGGGGATCAGATGCCTAAGATTGGCCTTACAGGACTAAAATCAAGGCGACATAGGGCTGGTTCCTTTTGGAGGCTCCACGAGAGAATCTCTTTCAGCTCTTCCAGCTTCTACAAGCTGCCTTGGCATTCCTGGGCTTGTAGCTATGTCACTCCAACCTCAGCTCTTGTTGTCATGTCTCCTTTTTCTCACTTTGAGCCTCTCCTTTTCCTCTTTCGAGGACTCTTGTGATTACATCAGAGCCACTCAGATAGTCAAGGATAATCTCCCCATCTCAAGGCCTTGAACTCCATCACACCTGCAAAGTTCCTTTTGCCACATAAGGTAACAGATTCACAGGTCCCAGGGATTGGGACGTGGAGATCTTTTGCAGGCCATTATTCAGCCGACCGCGACATAGTTGGCCTGTTGTAGCTTTATAAGAGCTGCAACCCTTTCCACCCTACCCCACCTTTCCTTGAGCTAGAGCGAAGGGGTTTCAGTTCCTTATAACTCACAGCTTGACTAAGACATCATCTTTCCTCTTAATTCCCTTTGGCTATTGCATTTCTTCTCCATTAGCCAGCATTTCCTCTTCATGCTTCCCGAATGCTCTCTCTCATCCAAAGAACTCCTACTCCAGGACACAATCC